TCCGTAAAGACCGGACTCAGCTGGTTTCTCACAGGATCCTTTACATTGGGCTCTGTAGGTGATTGCTTTGAAGTTACATCCAAAGAATTTTGCTTTACGTTTTTCCTTGACTTAGCACTAATGGCAGACTTCTGGGTCTCCGCCACACCGTTAGCATCATGTTTAACCGGAGGAAGTAAATCTTGGACGGCATTAGAAATTTTCTTCACACTTTTACCCACGGTCTGCACCTGATTTTCAACATATTTAATTGTGTCCTGTGAAAGAAATATAATTTAGCATTGTGAGAGGAATTGACAACTGGAGTTACTGCTTAGCAGTTAGCAGCAACAAAACTAATCAAAGACAAGAGGCAAACGAAATAGTTTTCATCTGGGCTTTTTCTTCCCTTATTACCTGATTCACTATACCATCCACCTCCTGGCAGATTGTTTCAAATTTCTGGTAAATGTTTCCAACCCAATTTATACTTTTGAGTTTTGTAAAATCCATCACGAACACTGAGCTGTATTTTAATGGTTTACGTTAGTCAAATATACAGTAGCATATCTTACTATATGAACTATAATGAGCATCATAAGATCACGTTAAGTCACAGATTACAAATTTTTCCAAGTGACAAAGAAAACAGTGCACAAAAGTTAACAAAAGGCAGAAAACAACAAAGTTAAGGTATTATACATTATGACTCATGGAAAACATCGAATGCAGTAAAATCGAATACAAAACTAGAGGAGATACAACTGCCACATGATAAATTCAGAAACCAAACTGTATACGGAATAGAAAATAGAAACGAAACAAGAAACTGATCTAAATTTGACAGTGAATGAAGAAAGTGCATAAAGATCAATCTATAAACCAAAATGTTTCTGTAATTTAGAAAAAAAAAAGAAAGTAATATTGGATGTACAGAAGTAGGAAACCAAGGTCTACACGAACCACACAAGGGAATTGAGAGGTTACTGGTCTGAAAACACAGAGAACAGAAAAAAAAAATCCAAGATAACCTTTGCCACAACGATTGATGACTGTATATTTATATGAGCATCACTATTTTGCATATACAATGTATAAAACATACTTGTTCATAACTTCATATACATGTACAGGCTTTAAATACTCTCATGCATTCCCTAATCCCTATATACTAACCTACATCGACGTTCCTCAAATTCAAGACTTTTGCCTATTCTTTAGCTCTTAAAAACCAACAAGTATTGAGCAACACGTATATTTAACGTCTACACCTCCTTACCAGTGCTTCTTTCATTCACACTGCCTTAGCTGCTCTTATGCAAGTCTCAAGCAACACTGATATCGACCGCAATCAAGCACATTTTTAACCGGGGTTCTAATCTTTAAACTCATAAGAGAACTAAAACCAACTGAATTTAGGGTTTAACATGATTTATTTTAAATAACTTCATATATGTATGAGCCTTCCATCATCTCACCCAAGAACAAAAACAGAGCTTTTTGAACAGTGATCGCGATTAAGCTATTAATTTAAACTTGATCAAACTCAATCACCAATCACCATCATCAAATTCAATTTCAGAACCCAAAATTCACACTGAAAATAAATCATTCTCCACAATTCACAAGTCTGGCAAACAAAAACAACAACACAGCAGCTCCCTGAATACATAAAAACATAAACATATATAATTGTACACAAAAAAATTCAAAAACTGGATCCCAAATTACAAATATACCTACAAGCATATATAATCGTTACAATTCGGGAAGGGGGATTTTTTTTGTTTTTTTGGGTACAAAAAGAAGAAAAGAAACCAGCAAAAATAAATTAAAGAGTGCTAATTGAGTGGAAAAGCAACGAAATTTAAATGAACAAGGCAGAGAGAAAAGAGGAAGAGATGAATTACCGGCAGCTGGCGGCGCCGGTAAGCTCAGTTGGCACTTGGACCTTTCTGTGATGGCAGAGATAGAGAGGGAGAGGAGGGAGGAGAGAGAGAGAGAGGGAGAAGAAGGGGGAGGGTTTAAACTTTAAAGAGCGTTTATGTTTTGTTTGTTTATCTTAATCACATATATAAAATAATAACAATAAAATATTAAACTCCAAATATTTAACCACCACGAGATGGTTTGTTAGTACAATGTATGCTCACCACCTTATTTATCATCATTAGATAAGTTTAAATTTCGAAATTCGTGTAGTGGATAAGTACAAATCTCGAAATTTAAACTCATCTGACGATGATAAATAGAGTGGTGGTGAGCAAAAATGCACTCAAGAATTTCACTCGTATTTTACATGGTCTAAGTTCGGTTTCTACACTAATAAATAGGGATTTGGATCCTCTCCTGAGCTAATGGAGAGGATCCTCCTGACCAGTTATCATGAGCCGTTGGATTTTTATCCAACGGTTATAACTATTATAACTTTAAAGGGACCTCCTGTTTGTAGCCGTTGGATAAAAATCCAACGGTCCATAATAACTGGTCAAGAGGATCATCTCCATTAGCTCGGGAGATGATCCAAATCCAATAAATAGCATGAAGATAATCAAAAGACGTTAAAATACCTCTGTGAATTTTTTTGATATTAAAAAAGATGGAATACCATGAAAGTCACCAGTCCCCTTGATTGGAATCAGTAATAATATATAGCAAAAGGTCGCCCGGCTCTCCTCCTCTCTTTTCCCCACTTCGCTTTTTCTGGTGCAATTGACTGACCAGCCAAATTTTTTTTTTTTACTTTTTTCCTTTCTTCCTTTTCTTTGTGATAATGCGTGTCGTTTATTAATATATTAATTAATATTTTTTTGGTTTTATTTATATTTCTAACCTCGCATTTTTTCCTATCATTTACCTTGTATTTTCAGAACTTTATGCTTATACTCCGTATAGTTCATATTAAAACTAGCTTTATGAAAATTATATATGCAAAAAATCAATTGAAATTAAAGTCATTTAGTTGATTAATTGTAGCAAATCGATAGACAGATTGTAATCCTTGGACCAAATTTGTCCATTCATTTTTGTACAGTTAGATAACTAAACAATTTCGTATTTAATTGATTTTTTCAAGAGATGAATTTAACGATTTCGATCAGAAACACTTTACTTTGTAAATCGATCATGAAGTATTTTAAGGAGAAACTTCTCCTCATCATTTGAATAGCCAAGTTTGTTGATGCACAAAATCAGCGAGGACTTTGGTACAACAGAAAGTGTCAAGTTTGTGACCTTCGATTGGTTGCTTCGATCACTAGTGAAGATAAGTACGTAAATGAATAGGGACAGGGAAGCAAACACAAGATGTACGTGGTTCACCCAGATCGGCTACGTCCACAGAATAGAGGAGTTCTCATTAATTGTGAAGGGTTTACACAAATACATAGGTTCAAGCTCTCATTTTGTGAGTTCTAGTGAATAGTTTAGTACAAAATGACATTAGAGATTATTGTGGGAGAATGATCCCTATTTATAGAATAGAGTTTCTAGTTTTGTTCTAACATTGACACGTGTCGTGTTGTGATTGGCTTCTGATGTTGACACGTGTCGCGCTGTGATTGGCTTCTGATGTCGACACGTGTCGCATTGTGATTGGCCTCCTGGTTGAAGGGAAGCTCTTCTGGGTCCTTGACGGTATAACGTTGACCGGTGCTCAGTAGTTTCGGGATTGGTCAAGTATGGTACAAACAAAGTTAATTTCAAATAGTAATTTAATTTACAATATCTTGACAAATCGCAAGCATATGAAATTTTCAACGTATGCGTATGCATTCTTTTTGCTTTTTCTCTTCTGCAGATTTTTGTTCTTAATCAACAATGTAAAAAAAAACGTCCGACAGACTAATTGTGGAGAAAATCACAAAACCCAACGTACGTTGAAGAAAGAAACAAACACCAACTTCACCATTTTGTTCAAGTTAGTCGCTCAGTATTATGGTCTGGTAGTATTTATCTTCACTTGAAAATGAGAGGTTTAGGTTTGAATCTCAATGATGACAAATTCGATATTAAATTAGGTTGCCCATTGTGTGGTTTAGCTGAACTCTTCTTTCTTGTAGTGTAAAAATATTGATATACTAAAAAAAATGACGGAATTAGAAGAGATAAACTTGAATGGATTTTTCGAAGTTACCATCCATTTTCTCCATTACAATGTAGACACCAATGGGGAGGCAGATTCTCTACCCTCCCACTTTCCGTGTCCTTCTGTTTGTGTGATCACGGTTAAGCCACGTCAACATTTTATATTATTATTCATTTTTATCTTATTATCTTTATAAAAAAATATATATATAAAATATTGACGTGACTTAACCATGACCACACAAAATAAAAAAGCACAAGAGAGTACGGGAAGTGGGAGGGCAGAGAATCTGCCTCCCACCAATGGTGACCTTCGAGTAAAGGTGTCGCAAGCTGCGTTACATTCTCCCCTGTCGTCTGTCTTCCGTCAATTTAATCATGACTTGTATGAAAAGTTGCAACGTATGTAGATGTGACTAGTTTGGTCAGACATCGGGTACACTTGTTTGGCTAAGCATCATCAGACAATTGCTTGTTTTACATTATCTTTCCTTGCCGATAAATTTACATTTTCGACCCTTACAATGAACTAAGGCCGAGTTTTCTCGACTGCAACTTTCAAATTTTGTTCAAGTTGATAGTAAAGCAATCGTACCATCTTGTGGAGATTAAAGGAACTAATACATCTAATTCCTTCAACTTGAACAAAATTCAAAAGTCGGATTACATTTCTTACACCAACATATTACAACCCTGTGTTCGCTTGAAAGAAAATTACTTGGACTAAATTTTGAGTAGTGCTATTAACACTTTTCCTCTTCTGCCTCTCACTCTTCCTTGTTGATTTTTGTTCACTGATTTTTTTCAATTCATTTGATCCGACAGTTCATTCCAACAGTTGAAAATTGAGAAAGGTGTGTGAAATGTAAAACGAGTGTGTAGATAACACCATCCTAAATTTTTTACACCAATAAGTTAAAAGGGCACAAAACACGAGACCGTAACCATACCTCATTAGAAGAAAGAAAAAGTTCAAGAATTGTTTCACTTGTATAATTACATACAGCATATGCGCCTGTGTTCCGACACAATTGACTAATTAGATGCCAACTTTATGCAGGAGGATTGACTAATACATCTTCAAATTTCTACATTTTTCGAGTCGCGGACTGATAACACGGTCGATATCAGGAAACAAACGTAACAAAGAATAAAGCTGAAACTTGATACCCCAATTGCTCTCCACTTTCACTTTAACATAAAAGAACGTAGACTTTATATACAACTTTCACGATCAAGCACAAACTACCACCGCGGATGGAATATCTCTCTGCATCCCGTGGCAAACATCAATCATAAGCCTTCGGCTACCACGACACAATTCATCTCACCGAGATTTGGCATCAAAGTATTCCTCTACATCTTCTACACTTCTCGGCCTCTGCCACCAAAATTTCACTCACCCTGCCCGACAACGAGAGAACACTTGCCGCCACAACCACCATAACACAATTCATCTCACCAAGCTTAAGCATCAAAATATTCCCCTTACATCTTCACTTCTGGCCCCCAAATTCCACTCCCCGCCCATCAAAGAGAAAACCCTCGCAACGAAAAGAATGGGGCGAGAAGACAGTAAGACAACTCAAAATCATGTCGCGCAAAACTAAACACAATGTACAAGGAAATGGGGAAGACAATAGAAAAACCACAGTAAATGAAACAAAACCAATAAATTAAACAGAGGAAGTTGCCTGAATTACAAATTTCTCAAACGCAGGTGTTAAAAAACAACTATTTTTCAGACCAGAAAAAAAAAAGACCCGAGTAGTTTGTCAATCAAATAACACCAAAACATCTAAAAACGGGAAAAAGAAACGTAACATAGAAGTACTGGGTTGGACGGATGGAACGAAACACGATGTTGAAATTACGCCACTAGAGTTTACTGTCACAAAAATTGAAATTCAGCATAAATGTCCTACTAAGAAAGCAAAGAACCACTTTCACAACCCAAACAGCTACATCATATTATATGGTAAAGAGCGATACCATGGGGTTTTTAAATGAAAGAACCATAACTTAAAAGCAGAGACGACATGAATCGCAAAGATAAGGCACTATTTTATCCCCATATAAAATGAAGTCTTCCTGTCCATCGAACTAATAACACACACCTCGCAAAAGCCTCCTTTCAAATAGAGCACCATAATGACTAAAACAGAATCAACCATCCGTCAAAACTGAAATTCAGTCAATCTCCAATCACTTCCATACAATCCAACAAAAAAAACAGCTAAATCGTAGAGGTATGAATTATGTACTACAAACACCGTTTTTACATAAACATTTTCTATGGTCACCAACACAATTGGGCTCCTCAATAAACCACCAAAAGCTTGACGAGTTCCTCTACAAAAAAGAATGACTACATACACACTGACCATCAATAAATGCCTACAATACAAAATTATAAAATTTGACTTCGATGAATATCAAACCCCCATATATTTACTGAAGATGGGAATTAGGAAGGAAAAAAAAAGTAATCTGAATACATATCACAATATTCAACGGAATAAAGAAACTCATGGATGAACAAATCACAGTCAAAAGAGACAATATGGCCAATACAGCTTATCCACAGGGAAACCAAAATTGTTGGAAGATAGGATTAAAAACCAGTGAAAACTAAACAATCTTTTTCAGCAAAAAGAAAGCTTGAGACAACGGCACCAGCAGAATTTTACAGCAAACGTAAGTCCTACGTACATTTGTAAGACGCATATCATAGCAGCAAGCCACCATCATGAAGAGCTCCATACAAACAAAGTCATATCAATTATCAACTAAAGTAAGAGCAACAACCGCCATACATACATTCTCAAAGTAAAAGAAACATAAATCAGTTATTATAAAAAAACAAACTATACTTTATGGCCAAAAAACCTACAGATCACATCAGTTCCTGACAGAATACAGAAAACTAGTCTAATTTAGTCACTTTGGCTACCATAACTCAGAAATGACCAACATCTTAAAGGTGCAGATGAAGTGATGAAGAGGCGATAAAATCACAGCTAATACAATCATCAAACCACAGCATATAGTCTGCAATCACGCAATCACCAGAACCATATAAAGCATCTGCGCCAACAAGCGATCATACACCTGATTCAAACATCAACCAATAACTCAATCCATCTTTCAATTGAACCATAAAGCACACAAACATGTCAATTCAATAAACACGCAAACAGATCAAATCAATGACCACGCAAAACGTATTTCACACCTTGAAAATAAATATCAAAACAAACAAGGGGCATAGTGATAGCCCATGTACCTGTAACACTAACATAAGAAATCAAGACATCCTTGCCACCTTACCAAAATATTTGAAAATAGTCACACTACTAGAGAACAATAAAATGATAAGATAATCCAAAATTGACCAAAAAAAATAGTACAGCCGTATCAAAGTTTAGAAGATGAATTCATCATCTTACAGCACACTATACTTTATTGAGCATAAACCATATAAATAAAACTAACAATCAATAGTTGACTTACATCAATAGAATACTGGAATGTGGAAATGTTTAGACGGTTTCATTGGTAACTTGAGCAAAACTTTGCACCAACCAAGTAAGCAGAAAATCTTTCCTCAAATAAATGTATGAATGATGAGGTAAGCACATGCATGATTTTTCGTTTTTAGAAGAAATAGCAATCACTTGCACGATCACACTACTTTATTAACCCTCCAAATCAATTGTCTCACAAAATCTCTACCCACACATTATTAACCACAATTTCTAAAGCCAAAAATTATGTCACCCCTTCAAATATAACAACTACAATGATATGAATGCTTTGTACCTATCACATAGTCTTTTAATTTTTTATTTAAAATGAATACACCATCCAAGACACTCAAAGAATGAAAAGCAGCCGGTGTTCAAAAATACAACCATGGGTACCACTAACCAGTAACCGCCCCTTACAAAGAAACAGTTGTCCAAAGAAAACAACAATTTAGCTCAAGTATTTGATACTACATTTCTATTCCACATGTATATATACAAAATTCTGTATCATATGTATATTTAAATATTTTTAGTAATAATATTCATGTCTCAAAAGCTTACACCTCGCCTTGCAAGAGAGAGAAAGCCCTACACATTAAAATCTGACTATAAGCAAATAAAATCAGCCCTGTTCACTATCCCACCTATGGCAAGTTTACTTGATTGGAATTGGGTTAGTGCAGAATAGGAATGAATATGGTTGTTTAGGTATGGGATAAACTACCCCCATGTTATATCTGGTTGTTCAGGTTTTACTGTAGGACCGACTAATTTTTTTATTCCCTCTCTCTTAGTAAACACAGAATATGTTAAGCATTGGAATGATACACATTACATACCCATTTCTACTAATGTCGTTAGTGTTGCACTCTTTCACTAAAATTTATTTTGATAAGTTGCTCAATCAATCCCATCAATTCCCAACAAAAACTATACATAAATAAAAAATATATAAGAAAAGTCACAAAAGAGATATTTGAATTCCTCCTCAAGTATCAAGTTTCCACCCACACTGATCAAAGGGAAAAAAACATGCATACAACTCCATCCGCACTCACCAAACAAAAAAAGGTTTCACTATGTGAACTGGAGAAGCATCTTGTAAAGATAAAAGCTTCTAACATCCATATTCCTCTAGAATTAAGGACTAAAAAGTAACACTTAACACAAAATTCAAATTTCAAGTAACAGAAAACACTAAAATTCATTTGGAAACTCCATCATTTAAGTTCTTGACTAAATATGACCGAACATCATAAATTATAATGCAATATCCACATCTAATATTTCTGCTAAAAACAAAGCTTTGGATGCAACACAAAAAGTACTATTAAAGCATTTCATATAAAATAGAAAAACAAGAGAAATACTACAGCAAAGGAACCCATATTCGTCTAATCCAATACAGAAAAACTTGATCGCCTCTCAAGCAACAAAAGCAAATTGATTCACGCAGAAGCACGAACAGAGACGTGAGGTATCCTATGCACACATAAACAAAAGCAAAAAAAAATAAGCAATACAATTAGTCAAAGGCACAAATTTTGTAAAGAAACAACCAAAACAACAAGAAGCAACCATACACAAGTAATTTAACAAAGCACCAATAAATCCAATCAATACCACCAAACTAGACACATAATAGCAAAAGATACAAGCAATGAAAATACCTCAGAAATAAGGTGGCACATTTGGGTACATGCCACCTTGAGGAACCCTTGGAAGGGGTGACGTTCCAGCTTGCTGGTGGTGCTGATTCTGATAGGCCGACAGGCCGTAGTGCCCACCCTCCGGATACCTACCAGATGGTAACCCACCTGAACTCGGAGGCAATCCATATAAAGACGACCCAGTACCCACACCACCAACTGGACCACCCGACCCAGCACCACCAAGTCCACCACCCAACCCACCGGCACCACCTAAACCATAACCCCCAGGCCCGCCATAGTTACCATAAGGCCCACCCAACCCTCCATATCCACCACCACCACCCAAACCCGAATTCACCTGGTTTCCAATACCAGACAACCCAGGCCCACCCAATGGATGGTGACCCAATGGAGGCTGGCCCTGAAGCCCACTGTTATACCCACCATAAGAACCAATTCCACCTGGGATGCCGTACTGCCCAGGAATCGAAGACGGCGGTGCCATCCCCATCCCATCTCCATGCGCATTGGAACCACTCCCGGGTCCTTGACCCTGCCCCGGCCCGTCCGACTTGCTCTTTTTCCCATCAATCGCCAATTTACAAAGCAACTGCCTCCCCTCGATGTTCTTCGCCGGATCAACAAGCGCCGCCTGAGCCCCCTCCGGAGTCTTATACACAAACAGCGCATACCCTTTGCACTTCCCAGTCTGCTTATCAAACCCTAGCGGGCCCTCCTCTATCTCCCCGTACAGAGCAAAATGCGCCAAGAGCTTATCCGATGGCATGTCATAGGGAACATTGGCCACATAAATCTTCCGCAACGATACGTCAGCGACGTTGTTGGAGGCGGTGTTGGAGTTCGAATTCCCCGCGGAGGCGAGCTGCGTGACGGTCATGCGGCCGTCGATCTTCTTGCTCGGTTCTTTCAGGGCCATGAGAGCACTGTCAACGTGGCGGAACGTGACGAACCCGTAACCCTTGGATTTTCCGGTGGTTTTGTCGAGGATAACGATAGCCTCCTCCAGCTCGCCGTAGGCGGAGAAGAGGGATCGGAGGCCCTCGGTGGTGGTGTCCCAGCCGAGGCCGCGGATGAAGAGCTTGCGCTGGGAGGCGTCGGGATCGGCGATGGAGCGGACGGCGTCGAGAACGTCGACGTGGCGGGAGAGGGCGTCTTGGAGAATGTCGAGGAGTTGATCGGGGGTGAATCGCTCGATGAGCCTGCGAGCGTCTTCGGGGGAGAGCTTGGGGGCGGAGGAGGGATCCGTGTCCAGAACGACGCCGTTCTCGTCCAGCTTTCGCTTCTTGGTTGAGTCCATTGGCAGAAGAGCGAGGATAAACCCTAACCCTTGGGAACAGAAACAGAGAGTCTAGAGAGAGAGCGAGTTGGGAGTTTTCTGACTGCGTGATTCTTCTGTGTGTGATTATATCTTGGATACGTTGGGCCTCGTATGAGTGAATATTCGAGTTAAATGGGCTTTGACAGACATCCAATTGTTTATTTAGATCTTATTTTTAATTACGTCATTTAAAACTCGATTTTAATCTTATTTTATTCTTTAAAACTCGAGTAATGTTATTTGTTTGTACCATACTTAGAGTCTCCGTATTTAGATCTCGTATAAATACTCGGAGGACTTAAATGTAATTATGTAATCAAGGAAGGGGAAAATATGTAATAAGTGAGGAGCCCTTATTCTATAAAATGATTCATCACCCTCACAATTAGGGGGAGCCACCCTCACTTCCAGAGGCCAAGGCTTAGGCCAATTCCTAGAGGCCAATTCTTAGGCTCACCCTCATCCTCTCAAGGTCTCTCATATTCAGAGAAGATCCTCACACTCTCTCCCTCACAATTCTCTCGGAAATACAATATCAGTGTGGACGTAACCCAAACCTTGGGATGAACCACGATACATCTTGTGTTATTTACATTTCTTGCAGATTCACGGCCGAATTTACGTTGTTCCAAGACCTCCGGTTTTGTGCATCAACATTTGGCGCCGTCTGTGGGAATCGACACGAAAAGCTATGTCGGTTCTCTCTTAATTTTTCACATCCGCCGTGAATCTGCAAAACCCAAGAGGAAACCAAATACTCTATCTCTCACTCTGCTATCCTCTTACAAAAAAAATCACAAAAACCAAGAACACCACTCTGTCTCTCTAAAACTTCCAATTTATAGAGCTATTTCGTCTTCCACTGTTTCCATCTCCTAAAATCTCTCTTCCGTCCACACCTCCATCAATTTCACCCCAATCTCCGCCACCGCCACCATCATCACCGTCCATGTCGTCGATGGCCAAAATCACTCACCCCCGCCAACAGATCAACGTCCAGATTCTGCCTCAGCCATGTCCTCACCTTGCCGAGTTCCTCTCCAACAATGGCTCCAAGCCCTTTTGGGCCTTGCAAGACTGTCTACGGGTTAAGCCGCCGGGTGGCCACGCATCTATCCGCCACGATCCCAAGGAGGTCCCGCGATGTGGCACATACAGAGAGTCCGCGCGTCCCAGACTCTATGCATGCATCACGTGCGCAGTCTAGTCGGGTCAATGGCGGTGTCGACCAGTTTCATAGAAGCAAAGTTGGAGGCTCTGCTGTCGAGATCTTCATCGTCGGCTGCAACCCATGTTGCTCTTAAGCAGGAGTTGAAAGCTGCTCAATTTGAGTTGAAGCGAATGGCTTACCATGTTGATTCACTGTGGGTAGACAAGGATGTCAAAATGAGAGATTTGTAGGACAAATCTGTTCGTTTGGAAGTGGACCTTCGTAGAGTGGAGGCCATGCAGAATGAGCTCATTCAGCTTCATGCTGATATCAAGGAGCACGCTGCTGCGAGGCAGAAGCTTTCGACCCAGGTGATGCGAAAATTATCTTAACACACAAATTTAACCCTCTTTTGACAATTGTAGTATAAGTATAAGTAGGGATCGTTCTGGACCGGAGATTAGGAGGGCTTGCTAATAATCTCTAAACTGACTCAAAAGCATAAAACTAAACTTAAAAACACTTAACAAGACTCACAAGACTCAAAGCAAACTTAAAATATTCAAAACAGCTTAAAACAACTAAATAAACTTAAACTAGACACTAGGAATGACTTTGGACGAAAATTGACTTTTACTTGAATCAAAACATTTACAAACACAAATTAAAATAAATTCTAACTAATTAAACACACTAAAGTAAAGGGGGATTGAGTTTTGGACGAAGTTGAAACAAACAAACAAGTATGAAAAACTAGACAGATTGTAAAACAAATTTGAGAAATAAGATGATGGATGGGATAGCTAGAGGCTTTTCTCCACACATGACATGTATGCAAATAACTCGATTTCCAGTTACTACTTCATTGAATTATGAACGACAATGCTCCAAATTAACCGTGACATCACTAGTTAACTCTCAGATTTTCCTTGTTTTATTGGATTGGATGACATCATTCGACAACCCAAAACATTCTTCTAAAGTTCCCTACATGACATCATAATAGAGATACAATCAAAGATCATTACGTTTAATAAAAATCATAAGCATTGACAAAGCACTTGCAACTATGACATCATGTCACTCATGCTAGGAATTGAACTTAACGCGATCGTTTATAAGCGACCTTCACTACATGTGAATATAAGTTTGTAACGATTATGTGAAACTTCCTTATATTTTTTTTTTTTCCGAAAAAAAAAATATAAGGAAGTTTCACATAATCGTTACAAACTTATATTCACATGTAGTGAAGGTCGCTTCCTTATATTCTAGCAACAGATTTATGCATGCCAATTAAGTGTTGACCCTTAATTAACAAATACAAATAAGTTATCAATCAAATAGTTAAGCCAATTGCATTCACGATTCAAGAGTTCATAATCATGGCTTTGAAATCACCCTTAGCCAAGAGGGGTTTAGCCACTCATATTTACAACAAAACGAAAGGAAATGAATTTAAACATTAGAAACAAAATAAAGAAAACACCTAAACGCTCCAACGATCCAAGTTGGACAGCAAGCACGTCCAAGCACTTTTTTTCCCTTCCTTTGCTACGGCACAAGATGTTGGTGAGTGTTTGAAGGTTTGTTTGTATGGAGGAATGGATGTGTTTGGATGAAGGTTGTGTTGAAATGGGAGTGAATGATCTCACAAAGTATGAACTCTATTTATGTTACACACACTTCCTTTTATAAAGGAAGTGCAAGGCAAAGCATGGGTAAAATGGAGTGGTGTTGAAATGATTCATAGGTGAAAGTGAAGTAATGAAGCAAAGCATGGGTAAAATGGAGTGGTGTTGAAATGATTGAAAGGTGAAAGTGAAGTAATGATGCAAAACATGGGTAAAATGGAGTGGTGTTGAAATGATTCAAAGGTGAAAGTGAAGTAATGATGCAAATCATGGGTAAAATGGAGTGCATGGCAAAGGTTTGTTATGGTACAAGGAACCCTTAATTTGTGTCCTAAAATGCATGTGAAACCTTCAATGTTGCTGGAACTTAGGGACATTTAGGATTTAGGAAAGATCAAACCAAAATAGGAAACCTTGGCTTAACTTTCCTACTTCAAGTAGGAAGCCTCATCTTTAGGTCTTCAATTTCATCCATTCCTTTAGTTCCAAGCATGTGATATTTATTCCAAGCCCAAAATTGCTCCAAAAGGCTCCAAAATGCACATTTTTGCATACTTTGTCCTTAGAACCTAAAATTGCACAAAAATGACTTTAAACACTAAAACAACTAAGGAATAACAACATAAATACATGAGAACAAGCTAACTCAGTCGTATAAATATGCTCCTATCACCAGGCATAAGTGATGACACAAGATCTGGCTAGAATGACTGTTGATTTGCAACAAGCACCAGTTTTGAGAGCATAAATTGTAGCAGACGGAGATGATCAATAACACAAGCCAAAATCCAGGAACTAGATTACAGCAATGGCAAAAAGGGGAATCGGCTCTTGTAATGTCTAATATGGTTTCAAAAAGGTTATCTCATTAGATGAGTATGCATCGCACTTCAAGAATATGGATCCCGTATCCCAATATAAGATGTGGAGAACTAAGCAGACATCGGATTGCAGTAGCCAACACAAGGAGTTTGTGCCGAGATATGATGTTTATTTTGACAGGGTTAATGCAGCTTTTGTTGTCAGCGATCCTGTGGATTGGGGTAGGGATATTCAGGTTCTCTGTGACATTCCAAGATCTGGAGGGCTTCATGGACAAGAGAATGGACATCAACCACCTCTATATTTTACCGCATATGATCTTGAGTATTAGGTTGGTCGCTATGATTTTCCCTTTCTAAAGATGCTGGACCATGAATATGGAGATATAGAAACAACCTGAGATTTGTTTGGTTTACCATTGACCCATTTATCGTTAAAATAAACCGGAAGTGATGCACAAAACCAAGCTTTTCGCAACCCTCTCCGACCACCTCGATTCCCTCCACAAATTTATTTATGAGAAATCCCATTCCCTCGAATCCAAAATCCAATCCCTGGAATCCCGTTCCCGAGAAACCTTACAATCCCTCGACCACCGCGAAACCTCCATCCCAGAGCGCGGGTCCTCCGCCGTCGCTCGAATCAAGGAGCAGAAAGCTGCGGCCTTGCCGAGATGGAAAAGAATGTTTTCGGGGATTTGGATTTGCAGATCCATTTCCAACGGACAGCAAGTTCATTGCAGCAGGAAGGTAGAGGTGAGCTCATAGCTTTAACAATGGCGGAGAAAGGTCGTGGCAAGGGGAGAAAGAAGTAGGTTATTACCAGGGAGTACACCATCAACCTTACTAAACGCGTTGCAGAGGACTACCATCAACCTCACTTAACATTTTCTGTTGATGCTAGTAGTCGACGGCTATCCCCACCATTTTTCGGCCGCACCCAATCATCACGACATGGGCATCACTAGTAGCCGACTGGTCTCACACGTCACCGTCACCCGCAAACTCCTCGAACCATTTCTGTCGATGATGCCATCAGAAATGATGAGTCTGGATGGCTTTAGTGGACCACCCACAGGGATTGCTTTTGTCGACCATATGGAAAAAGTCATACTTATGCTGCCAAGGTGCAGGCTTGTGGTGCTGCAATCAGGATGGGTTATCTTCAACAACCTACTTGGACAAAGGGAATAACTTTTCGCATGTGCTAGCATGCTTTGTCGCACTTATCCAACAAAAAGAAAAGAAAGGCCCTCAGACAGCTCAACCACTCCCATAAAAATAAAAAGAAAGAGCAAAAGCAAAAAGCAAAAATAAAAAGAAGTAGACATAATTGCGATGGTGATGGCATACAGAAAAGGGAATTATGGGCGTAACCCATTGAGTAGAGGGTCGGATTTATTTTTTGCATGATGTAATTTATTTTTCTTATCTTCGGAGACATCTGTATAAACCCCATCAGAGGGTAATC